TTGAAAAGGCTCAGTAGCCTGAGTGTAGGGACTATATCGATGAAGAAGAGGAAGATGTGGGTTAGGAATTAAGACTGGACTAGGGCTCATCTTCTGGTAATCGGACGATCCAGTGGAAGGAGTACTAGATATACATGGGCTTGAGTCCTGGTTCTACCACTTCCTAGCTGTGCAAGCCTGAGGCAGGTTAACCTCCCTGTGCCTGTTTCCTCATCTGTAAAGTGAGATGATAATAGATGCTCTCATAAAGTTGTGGTGAGGGTTATATGAAATAATCCATGTGAAACCTTTAGCATTATGCCTGCCATTGGGTAGGCACAGCACAAATGGCAGGTCTTACTATCTACTCATAAGTACCCAAGTCTCAGGCACTGCTCCAAGCAGATCACCATGGCTGCTACCACACCCTTCCTCTCTGACGTTTGTCTGAATTTCCAGTTTGGAGTTTCCCTCCAAACTGGTGGTGGCGGCTTCTTCTTCCTCTCCCCAGAAGCCCACTGCCCTGACTCTGGTGAGTTTAGGTCATGAGAATCAGCCTCCTAACCCACCCCAGGAAAGACCAGGGACTCCCTAAAAAGAGAGAATACAGACAGCAAAGTCACCCTGGTCCTTCATGCAAAGGGATGGGGGAAGCGGAGGGAGGGGGGAGTACTGAAGGGTCACTGGGGTGGGGGTGGGGTGCATGGTGCCACAGTGGGAATTCTGGAGCTGGGAAGGCTGCCATCACCCAAGAGAGAAATGACCAGAACCAGAGGTAAATCTGTAACTTGGGAGAGAAGAAAAGTACAGATTTGGGAAAAGAAAGGAAAATGTGAGTAGATTTGGCAAGGGATGAGTCCAGAAGGAAACACCAGTCTTCCCCCTGCATCATAGCCAAGCTGCAACAGATTCGAAGTAAGAGTCAGAAATGAGAAGAGAAGGAACACAAAACCAGAGCCCTGTCTCCACTGTGGGCATGAAGCATGGGTCTGACAGGTAGTTCAGGATGGAGCGGAAGAGCCAGCTCATGGCTGTGAAGCTTGATACTCATAGTACAGAGCTGTGGTGGAGGCAGTTTAAAAGCAAATTTGTTAGACTTGGTAAGTCCAAGTGTTTATTACATGTGAATTCAATTTTGAAAAAATTCATCATTTAATAGGGAAAAAAAGCACACACAAAAAACCCTGACAATTCCTAGACCTATTATGACTGTGGTTTCTGAATATTTTTCCTGCTGGTGTCAGGTTTAAGGCAGGGAGAAGCCAAGTAGGAAAAAAAAGTGAGGATTCCAGTTCTTTTTTTTTTTGCTCCCGGGGGAACATAGGCTTTCCAAACACAGGAGGAATGGGGAGGTGCTTGCTGGGGTTTTTTCCCAGCTTTGAGTCTCCATTGGCTCCAGTATAGACTCGCTCTCCTCAAGCTGGCAGGCTTCAGTTCCAATATTTTTCTGAGAAACGTACAGTTTCTGGGGGCTCCTTAGGGAGCTGCTCTGGCTCCAAGGAAACATCTAAGGGGCCCCGGCGTCTAATCATCAGCTTAGAATTAATGGAGGGCAGGGCTTCTTCCTTGACTCTTTCTCCCCCATCTGCCAGGCACAGAGGGGGTGGTCAGTAAAACTTTCATTGAATGACTTACCTACTGAATGAATGGATGAGTGCTAAACTTCACAGTGATCTATCAGAGATGTTAGAAAGCAGGGTTTAGCTATACATTAAAAGACATTTAAAAAGAATATCAATTATGCCATGTGTGGACTGTGTTTGGATTTTTATTCAAACACAAAAAATAAGACAATTGGGAAACTTGAACACTGATTATTTGATCATCTTATTTGCCCTGCACCATGTTTTTCAAAACTTTGAATGTTGCCATCAGTTTTAAAATAAGGGACTTAAACGTTAAAATCCAGATGTCCAGCTTATTTTGAAAAACCGGAAGATCTGACCACAGATGGGCCCAACTCTTTACTCAGCTACCATGGGCTGGAATTAAGGAGAGATTGCTTTCTTTTGGGCATCAGGTCCACAATAAGTGCCACTTCTTCCATGATACCTTTTGTGATCACCCCAAAAGGAGTAACTTCTTATTCTGCTGAGCTCTTGGAATACACTTTAATTTCTCACCCAGCTCCCAGCATATGCTGCAGATGTTTTTTTTTTTTTTTGCTTATTGCCCCTGCTCCCCCACACCAGGGAGGGATTAAGGTCTTTACAGGCTCTAAATACTGAAAAGATTATGGAGGGTGCCTCCCCATATGTAATTCCAAACCAAATTTTATTTTTGAAAGTGGCGATGTTTCCAAGTAAGCTGAAGACAAACTTTCTAGATTAAAAAAATTTCTCCAACTTTTTTTCTCTCTCTCTTTTTAAATTAAAGTTTATTGTGGTGACAATGGTTAGTAAAGTCACATAGGTTTCAAGCGTACAATTCTGTATTCCATCATCTATATATCACATTGTGTGTTTACCACCCAGAGTCAGTTCCCCTTCCATCACCATATATTTGATCCCATTTACCCTCATCTACCACCCCCTCCCCCTTCTCCGGCTTCTTATTTTGAAAAATTTCAAACCCACAGAAGAGTTAAAAGAATAGTACAATGAACATCTCTGTAACCATCTAGATTTACCAAGTTTTAACATTTTGTGATATTTGTTGTTCCTTCCTCTAAACTACTCTCCAGTATTTCAGACATTATGATGCTTTACCCCTAAATTCTTCAGCATTTATTTCTTAAGAAAAAAATGATATTTTCTTACATGACCAGAGTATCATTCTCACACCCAAGAAATTTGACCTAGATACAATAAGTTCATCTAATATGCACTTGTATTCAAATTTCTCCAATTGTCCCAGGAATGAATGCCCCCTATGTTTTTTGTTGTTGTTGTTGTTTTTAATCTTGGTCTATTTAACCTCCTCTGATCTGGAGCGCGTCCCTGATATTTGTTTTTAATCTTTCATGACATTAACATTTTGAAGCATCCAGGCCCGGTTGTTTTGTAGAATATGCCACAGTCTGCATGTTTCTGAATGTTGCCTCATTATTGGATGCGTTTAACATCTAACAATAGGTTCAGTATTTTCAATATTTTTGCAAGAAACTCCAAAGGTGATGTTGCATTTTTCTAGATTTTCTGTTTGTGAAGTTCCAGATAAATTCACCAAGTGGAATTCGTGTGTGTGTGTGTGTGTGTGTGTGTGTGTGTGTGTACAGTATATGCTTTGCTAGCACCCTAATTACATGTGTGCCATATTAGTAATCATGGTTACCGTCATATAGATCATGCAAAGCATTGGTCTCTGTATATCGGAGCAGGGTTTGGGGTATTAGGATGACAAACTTTTTCCCCTACTAGTATTAATCTACAATCTCACCAGCACTTATAGTCTGTCACTCTTTAATTTTTGCCAAATCTGCAGGTGTAACAAGATACCTTGTGGTTTTCCTTTGTATTCTGTTGACTGCTGAACAGTTTGAGCCTCTTTGTTTTTTTAGGTTCTTCCATTTATTCATTTTTGCCTTTTAATTTTAAAAGAATTTTTTCAGTTACAGTTGACATTCAATATTATTTTATATTAATTTCAGGTGTACAGCATAGTGGTTAGACATTTATATAATTTATGCAGTGATTCTCCCCTTTAGTCTGGTACTCACCTGGCTCTATACATAGTTATTGCAACATTACTGACTACATTCTCTATGCTGTACTTCACATCTCCATGACTTAAGCATCTTTTCTATGTCAACTGACCATTTGTGAAACGCTTGTTTATGCCTTTTGCTCCCGTTTTGGAGGTTGTATCTTTCTCATGTATTTTTAGATCTTTATGCATTCTGGTTACTAATCATTTATTATATAGTATATATCTCAGCTATCATTAAACAGTATCATAAAGCTAAAGCTAAGCATATGGATACTGTGGTCCGATGTTTTGCATTCAAATTCTAGTTCTGTTTTTTATAACTGTGTGACACTGGGTAAATTATGTAGCCTCGCTGTGCTTTATTTTTCTCATCTATAAAATGGGGGTGATAATGGCACCAACCTCACAGGGTAATAGAGGGATTAAATGAGTTAATAAATGTAATGCAGTTAGAGCAGTGCCTGGCACATAGTAAGAGTGAATAAGTGTTTGCTGTTACTGGCTTTCATCATTTACAGCTCCCATGTAATTTTGAAACACATTGGGCTTATCAAAGTGTTCATCCCACAAGTGGTCTCCTGCCCCCTTTGGGGCTCCCCTGCACCATATCTACAGTCTCATCCATAACCTGCTCCCTATAACGGTGTGCCACTCCACACTAGCAATGGCGGTGACTCCACTTTGCACAGACAAGCTCACCCATTAAGTGATGTCTGCCCCTCAAAGGTGTATCCGGCCAATGAAGCTTTTCCTGGTGAATGGGAAAAACATTCTGCAAACTCGAAGGGCCTCCTCCAAAATCTGGAGATTAATGCCAGTAAGACCTCTCCTTCACTTTAAAGACCTACAAGCACCCTAAAGATTAATTCACGCCAAGTTTGAGACCTAACGATGTCATGATTTATTCTGCAACCATTTAAGAAAGTCCCTACTCCTGATAGGACACCTAGCATCTCGCAGGAACCTCTCTCCCAACCTCTCCCTGGGCCTCTTCCCTCAACTTGGGCCTTTCTTTGTGTAGTGTTTCAAAGACTCGCAAACTCGTGATACAAGCGCACCCAGGAGGCACTCAATAAAAGCTACCGAAGTGAACGAATGAAGGAATGTCACTGAGTTGCCAGGTAGAAGTGACATGAGCAAAAGGAATGTTGCGTGGCCAACTCGCGTGAGGATTTGCTGGCCCACAATAAGGGTGCGGGGAGAGCGGGGAACGTAGAAGAGGGTTGCTTAGACACGGTGGTCTCGGCCCAGCCTAGTCACACGACAGGGCGGGTGGAAAGCTGCGCGGCCCAGTTCGCGGGTCTCAGGTGGGCGGGGCGGCCCCATTTGGTCCCCGCCCTGCCCCGCCCAGCGGGGCTGAGGCCAGGGGCTGAGCGGCGGCCGAGCCAGAGCCTGCGCACTGTGGCCGCAGCGGTAGCTGCTGCTCCCGGCTCATCTGCTCGGAAGATGGCGGAGCGTCCCAGCGTTGGCGGTAGCACATCCCTGAGGGGGCTGAGGGAACGCATGGGTGAGCGGGCGGCGGCTGGTGGGGCGGGGACGGGGGACTCGGGCCTTGCGGGAGGCCGGGTTCCCGTGGCCCCCAAGACCAGTTGGGGCTGCACGGCGGGCGGCAGAAAAGTTTACTCCGGAGTCGCCTCGAGCCGTCCGGTCCTCCCTGGGATGGGATGGGGAGCCGTGGTGGGACAGGGACGCGAGGGGAGACGGCAGGCCAGCGCCGCTAACGGCTGAAGTCCCGCAGCCAACGGCTCAGCTGCCGCCCCCAACGGCCGAACCTCCGCGGGCGGGGCGCGACGGAACTAACGGGTGGTGCTGGTGCGGGGGAGGCTGGAGCCCCAGACCCAGCGGACGGACCCGAGCCCCGCCTGCCGTTGCGGGGGCGGCCGGCGCCCGTGCCACCGCCCGAACGGACGCGCCGCTGTCCGGGATGTACGTGCGCCCGCCGGGACCCCGCGCGCTCGGACCGCCCCTCGCGGCCGGGGCAACCCTTCCAGGCACCGGCGGTTAGACTTTTTCCCTCTGCCCGCGAGCGCTTGCGCTCTAATGCTTTCTCGCGGTTGCAGTCCTTGCCTCTCCGCGAGGCTTACCTCCCGCACCCTTCTGATCAAGGTGCAGTGAGGCGAGAGCCGAAGTTGAGATGAAACTTGGCTCTCTAGTTCCTCCTGATACGCCTGCTGTAGCACTTGACTTCGCCAAGATGTCACCTTCCCTGGGACATCTTGCAGACCGTAGGCTGAACTGATTCAAAGTGCTTCTCCTAAATTGGCCCCGGCTCCAAAAAGCCCCCTCCCCGTCCCCCAAAATCGTTAATTTTGTAAAATTTGGCAGCACATCGCATAGCCCAGGAGAGTGTTCCACTATGTGAGCGAGATACTATGTCTTGCTTGTGTGGGAGGTTGCTTTTAGCTAGTTCTCTGGCTAGTTTCCTCCTACATGAACTTGTATAAAACGATCTTATTAATTTTTATTGAAATCCTTGGAGATGTTTTCATTTGCAGTTGAAAAATTAATTTCGGTTGGCTCCGATTGGGAGGCTTTACGTTGCTTCAGAACGCTTTGGATCAACTTCCCAAATAATGTGTCAGAAGCAAATAACACTTGAATCGTTCCATTGGGAGAAAATCTCAGTCTCTAGTTATTTATAGTTCATCTAGAGAGTTTGCAACTCATTAAGATTGTTTTATTGCTTATTGACACCTAAGTCTTTCTGGCATTGGTTTATTTCAGCGGTTTAAATTAACCAGCATTCCTGATAACCCCAACCTCCCCCAAACATTTGTGTATTGAACATTTAAAAAATATTTTAAAAATTTAAAATTTTATATAGGACAGTTGCTTGAATTCAGTGTTTCAACCCAGAAACTTAAAAAGCCATGCAAAAAGGCTTAACCCAGGACCATAGCTGACATCTTTGCTGCCCATTTTATGTTAGAAATTGAAAACATCACATGCTAGACCAGAACTGCCCTCATAGTCTCAGCCCTTCCTGAAATCTTTTGCCACTTTGTGGCAGTTGCTTCTTTTTATTCTGTTGTCCAAATAACAGTGAGTAGCCCTTAATCTGTTACTCTGTAACAATTAATTTCGTAGTATGGTTGTTCTCTGCCCACGCAACCGTAGCTCTTTTTATAACAAATTAAAAAAAATTGTTCAATCATTTTTGGCAATCTATGCCCTTTCCTACCTATACAAAATTCTAGTTTATGTGATCTAATATTTCTCATGAGGATAGAAGAAAGGGTCTTGGGGAAGGAAGGTCATGAAGAGGTGAGGCTACAGATTTTTATGTTGCATTCTGAAGGTGATTCAAGAGCAACATTAGTGGCAGACAATACAGAATTGCTGAATAAGTATGGGGATGAATATTTATCGTTGACATCTCATAAGATTAAGCATTTTAGTGTGATTGTGCTTCGGTGCAGCCTTAGGAAGATTGTTACCATTCTTGAACTAGTTGTCATGGAGTGTTCTTCCTGTCCTGCATTTAGTTCATCCTAGTGGAGGCAGAGCTCTAGTTACACAGATCCTGTGTGTGTGTGTGTGTTGAACGGGGGTGGGGGGCAGAAAGAAGTGGATATTTTCCACTGTATTGAAGTCAGTAATGAGCTAAAATGCTTGATGTCCAAAAGGGGCTTCAAAATTTCAATGACATCTTTTTAAAAACCTATTAGGATAACAAGAGAAAAAAAAATAAATAAAAAATAAAAACCTATTAGGTGGAAAGCATTCTTTAACTTTGGCATTCTGGTGGCGCCTGTTTTTGGTTCATTTTATTCTGAGGCTTTTATTGGGCTGGGTAGGATTATTGATTGTAAGTTTGCCCCTCATAGGAGGAGAATGGTTTTCTTTTTGTACTATCTTACACTTTTTCTTTAAATTTAGACCTTTCTTACCCACAGCACAATAGTGCTTTCTGTCTCGCAAAAAAGGTAAATGCTTTACTTTAAAATCATGCATTCCATTGCTGTATTTTCAAAGTATATTTTAAACCAAAACCCATATATTTCATTTACTTCTTGTTGAATCAACTTTATCCATTTAGATCTCGTTTTCTTTTTTTGTGACATTTTAAACAGAAGTAACATTAGAAAGTAGCTGAGTTGAGAAGAATGAACTAACTCGTATAAAGATTAAGTGGGATATGTATAGTCTGGTCTTTGATAATTATGTAATGTTTCAAAGTATAGTTGCTCCTTTACCATTCCATCAAGTTCTGGCTTCACCGTTACTACCTGTGTAATGTGGGAAAGTGATGTTTAGCTTCAGTCTTATGTGTAAAAAAAATGTGGAAAACAATGATATCCACTTTATAGGATTGTTATGAGAATTGAATGAGGTAATACAAATGAAAAGAACTTCATATATGGTGAAGTGATGTACATTATTTGTTACGGCAATTTTTGGGAAAGTACCCTAAGTATAGAGTAAGATTCATAATTCTGTTTTAGTAATAAAACTCTACACATTTTTGTATTTTATCTCCAAGCAAAGGTAATTTTTTACCTTACTTTGGGATTTAGCATTAGTAGAAGAACTACAGAAATACTGTGGTATGCTTCCCGCACCTTGCTGTTACTTTAAAATGAATGGTAAAAAAATTCCCTCATTCTATCGAGTGGAATAAAACCTTCACTCTCTTAAGTCCAGACATTAAAGGCTTTCTCCCATTGCATGGATATTTTAAATGATTTTCAGAGCCTGTCCTTTTGGTGAATGTATTTCTTGCCAGTAGGAATTTTGATAAAAAGGTCTGAAAATCAGATTTGATTTTAATATTAATATTTAATATTACCACATTAACCTTTCTATGATTTGGTTTTTTATTCCTGCCTCAGCTAATTCTAAGGTTTCCTCTGTTTAATAAGACCTCTAAATTTGGTAAATTGTACATTTTGAGAGAAATTGCCCTCATAGTTAGCTAAACTGTGCCAAAATATGGACTTTCCTTTGGACTTCTAAGCAAGAAAACCAAATGTGCAAAAACAGCTTGTTTTCTCTGTGCTCACACAGAAATGTTGCAAGTGGGAGGATGGATCTATAGGAAGGCTTAATTAATTTATAGAGTATATTTAAGAATTTTTCCTAATACATTAGTATTCAAATTCAGAGATAATAGTGGTCTACAAAATTGCCAGTAGTTGAATTATTAAGGAAGCTGGGAAGAGTTGAATCTTCAAATTTAGCTAGGTCATGGATTATCTGAGCTGTTAGATCTCTGGGGTAAAAAAAAAATATTTTTTCTCTTTTGAAATGGTGATCCCCGTGGCGCCATTGTGATGTCACTTTCAAGGTTACTCTGTAAAATGACTCCCAGATATCATTCCTCAGTGGCAGCTAACATCTCCGCATCCTTTCAATCTATGAGGACAACGACAGCCCCTCTATTTTCTTAATTATTTTAACTGCCCGTAATCAGCTGTTATATTTTCCTTGATATATAGAAACCAGAATTGTATGCAGAACCCCGGAATCATATTTCTTGTACTTTCATACCAGGGTAGAAGACAGTGTAGAGTGTTATTCTCCAGATCCTTCCTGAAGATGACCCTTATTGTGGGGCATTTTAGAAACAGCCATACATGGTATTAAAGGTTTCAGGGAAAACTCAATAATAATGTGCGTGCGTATCATCTAGAATTTTAGATTTTCTTACTTTGCCTCAAATTGTGCTGCCTTTGTATTTCACCTTTATTAAAGTTTACTTTATTTAAGTATAGTTGGTATGCCATATTAAATTAGTTTCAGGTGTACAGTATAGTGATTTGACATTTATGTACCTAACAATGTGACCACCACACCAAGTCTAGTAATCACCTGTCACTGCAAACTTAGCACAATATTATTGACTGTATTCCCCTTCAACTTTTACACCCATCCCCCAACCCCTTTTTGAAGTTTATTTACCAGGTTTTTGCCTGCTTCTACAAGACATATGTAAATTTGTATTGTGGAGTTTATATTTGCTTGACTTTTTTCTACCTAGAAGAAGACCATCTAATTGCAAATTCCTTGACTGGTCTTCCACCTTCACTATGCATCAGAATAGAGCTTTTAGCATCTGCAAAGGCTGGGCCCCACCACCAGAGAGTGGGGGCAGGGAGGGGCAGGCATTGCTACTTTTTTAAAAGCAATTTAGGAGATTAGTGTGCCACCGGGGTAGAAAGCCCCTGCTAGGTCGGTTGTAAGTAAATGTACTCCTTAATATTGGGCCCTGTCTCTGAGGATCTCACTGTTGACACTTTTGCTTCCAAATTAAGATCCATAAACTCCAAATCCTTTCTAAATTCCCAATTTGTGGCGAAACCTGTTTTCCAGTTCCTTGCCAGCTCACTTTTTCTAGTGTAGGCGCAGTGTCTCATCTGAGGCATCTTTGAAAGCTGTTAATCATTAGCTCCTACTCATCCACAAACTTGTACTGCTACTCCCTTTAACAGAGATCTCTCTCTCTGTGTCCACGGATATGCTGGCACATCCACAGCACGCGCTTTTAATTCTTTGTGAAATTATTGTTGAACATCCTGAACTCCGTATGTCTTTGTTGTTGACCCTGATTAACCCGTCATGACTTGTCTTACAGAAGAGATGCTATCCTTTATCATCAAAGACACAATTGGCTATGCTTTGCTGCCCCCTGTATTAGTTGTTTGTAGTCTTAATATCTAATCCCCTTCCTTTATCTCCCTGTATTTTAGTTGCTGCTGCTCATGCAATTGCTAAAGAAAGACGGAATCAGAGTGGCTCTAGCTCACTTACATCCCAATCCTCAAATACAAGATCAGCATTTAAACCAGGTATAATTTCTAGAATGCTTTGATAGATGTCAGTGTCATATCATTAACATTTGATACCCTGCTAATGTCCATTCTTTTCTTTTCTTTTTTTAGTAATAATAGATGGATCTGTGCTTAAAAATGACATAAAACAAAAATTAGCAAAGGAGCGCAGGGAAGAAATGAGACGACAACAAGATGGTATATTTTGGACTTTTAAAAAAAACAATCAGAATGAATTTTATAGTAAGGCCTTATATATTTCCCAAGTGGTTTTATTTACTTTTCCTAATCTGTTTATATGATAGATTATACTTTTTGTATTATGCATTACGTTATACTAAATGCTTATACTAAATCAGTTAAAGAAGGCCCATGAAAAGTATTTGACTACATTGTTTCATTTTTGAAGTAGTAGCCTCTGTTAGCTTTAATTTTCTGAAAACTAAAGTATGAAAATTTCTTCAGCATTTTGTAGAAACAAGTAGAATGGGATTTCAGTAGAAATTATATTAAGATGAAGATGAGGTTGATTAGAATCCTAACATAGACAGGATATCTTTCACTGATTGGTATGCGTCTCCAGTGGAACTTTGTATTAATTTGGATGTAAAAAAAGGAGCCTTTCTACACCTTGAGGGAATGCTTTCTCAACCATGCATTTTTCTCCTTGGGTCTTGTAAATCTCACTGACAATGCTAGTGCTTAACTTCATTCAAATGGAATATCAATTGCCTTTGTTTTGGTGACAAGCTGTTTCTTCCGAGCTCTTAGTAGGACAGTATTTTACAACTGCCTAGATGCTCTCCAGGCTTAAGGGAGGGGAAATTTGAATATAGGAAAACATCAAAATGTGGTATGGGACTAAGTCCATGAACTGGCATGTTTAATTTGGTCTGTATAGATGAGGCCTTTGAAAGAAGTTTCCTAGTAGAAGGAAAAAATGTATATCCTGGCCGTGTATTTTTTTTTAATTATTATTTTAAGTACACTATGTTAAGCTGGTGGGGTTGGACTCTGTAGCTCAAAGCAGCAGAAACATCACATGAGCAAAACTATTTCTTTTTAATTTGGAATTTTGGTTCAGACCAGGAGGAGAGTCATCTATCTAAGCTAATTTAGTTCTCTGGAGTTAAATGAACACCCAGTGAAAATGAGTAGTGGCCATCTCTGTTCACTTATATAATAAATCTTTAGTTATCAGCACAGGTTATTTTTAAGAAAGAGGATGAAATTAGTTTTTCCTTCTCTGTAATGTGGAAAACTTAAATATTTTAGTGGTTCTTACACACCTTGTATTTGGAATATTTCAGCTAATAAGGAAATACAGCTACTTGAGAAAGAAAGAAAGGCCAAGATCCAGTATGAAAAACAGATGGAAGAAAAACAACGAAAGCTCCGAGAACAAAAAGAAAAAGATGAACAGCGAAGAATATCCGCAGAAGAAAAAAGAAAACAAAAATTACGGGAAGAAAGGGTACATATTTTTCTAGCCTGCTAATCAGATATTACAGTGTGTTGCCTGGGTCTGGAACACTTTGTTTTGTTATAGCCCTTCTCTGCCTTTACTTGTCTAACCTGTGGAAGGGGAACCAATCCCATTTCTTCCTTTCGTCCCTGCAACACTAGTCTCATTTGCCCCTGTCCGGTCAGATCCCAGGAGTTTTAGACTCACTGGCTGAGGTTAACAGACACCTCGTAGATCCAGGAAGAGACAGCCCTGTCCACCTTCAGGACATGGTACCTGGGGTGCCTGAGGCCTGCGGTTTGCTCTGTGTGTGTGTCTCCCACCAAAAACTTTCAGTGTTGGCCCAATTCCTGATATTCACAGACCCACCTTCTGGTCCGCCTTGACAGGTCCCCCCCCCATCTGACAGGCTCACTTCTCACAGCTCCTCTAGTTGCCTGACTGAGTCCCGGCATTTGACTGGGACTCAGCCAAATGCGAGCACAGCTCTCCCTTCCACATTCTCCTGGCTCCCTCTTGTGTGCGCTCACTCTCTCCTCCCTCTCGTTCCTCACATTCCCTTCTTTCTCTGTGTTGTTTTGTGACCCACTGTTCTCTTCTCTTTTCCGGACTCTTTGTTGGTGTTTGGCACTCTCTTGGTATGAGTCGCTCCCTTTGTGGTGCCCTCGCTTCCGTCCCTTCTGTCGGTTTGCCTTTTATTGTGTATACATGGGCATCTGAGTAGCTGTCTCATTCTGTATGATTCTCTCTGACACCAAATTTTTGTCCTGTAGGTCATTCCACTGCTTTACTCAGTATCCTTGACTCTTTCTTCTGAATCCAGCACATTCTCTGTGACACCATTCTCTTTCTTGCTGGCATTTTCTTTTTTTTTATCCCAGTGATTCTCAAGTATCCCTAAATAAGTCTTAGTCTGTCTTCTGGTTTGCTGCCTGACTCTGGCCTTTTCCTGCCCGAGGTGCCTCACTTTTCTTGTTGCTTTCTCTGTTTCAGCTTCTTTCTTTTTCTCTCCCCATCTTTGGACTTCCTGCTTCTTCTCTCAGTATGTGTGTTTTTATCTTCCTCTCTCTTTTTTTTATTCTGTTGCTCTAAATTTTAAATTTCTTTTTCTCTTCTCTTTGGTTCCATTTCTCCCCACGAGCCTTCTTCTCTGTGTCTTTTTCTGCGGCTCACTTTTCCTCCTTCCTTGTCCATACAGTTGCTCCGGCGCATGCCTCAACCCCAGCTCCTACCTCCGTCTGTGGGGCTTCCTTATTCTAGGACTGCCCTTGTGACATTTCCTCCCCATCCGTGACCCAGTACCACTTTCTCTGTCTTTTTTAACCTTTTTATATAGTTGTTTATGTCTGTCTTTTTTCACATTTCATCATTTGATGGACTCTCAGAATTTGTCACTCTCCATTTTCCTTTGTGAAACAGCATCTTAATTTACATATCTATGTTAAAGAGAATGTGTGTGTGTTGTGTGTGTGTGTATGTGTGAGTGTGTGAGACAGAGAGAATGTAAACTAAGAAAACCAAAGAAAGCAAAACAAAACTGTGTGTGCAAAGTGGGGGATGGTCCTTGGAGGAGAGAGATAGTCCCAGGGACTGAGAAAAAAAATACCATCTTAAAGAAAGAGGAATCCGAGAGAGCAAATGCAGCAAAATGACACTGCAGACAGAAAGGAAGGCAGAGACATGGCAGAAGAGGCAGAAAGACAAAGACAAAGGGCCTAGAGAGCTGGGGGGGCCCAGCAGAACAGGGGCCATGGGACACTAAGTAGGCTGGGGGTTGGGGGCTGCGGCGGGAGATACATCTGAGCCACAGATGCTGGAAGGAACCTCTGAGCACAGAGGGTCAGTGCATTTGGAAACAGCGGTATAGAATTCTTAGGAATCAGAAAGGTTTTATAATGTAAAATTAATCTGTTTTTAGTCTTTATTATAGTTTCTGGGTTTCTAAGTAACAAAACAACTTTCTATTAGAAAATACATATTTTTTAAATTAAAGTTTATTGGGGTGACGATGTTAGTAAGGTTACATAGGTATACAATTCTGTAATATGTCATCTATATATTACATTGTGTGTTCACCACCCAGTCAGTTCTTCCAAAAAATATAATTTTAAAATATTACCTACCATTATATAAATTTTATTTTAAGAATTACAATTGTTATTCTCTGCAGAGGATATGGATGATTCTTCATTTTTCCTGGTATGTTGACGCTCATTGCCCTCAGAGAAACGGTGGTGACATTATAAGGATGATGTTGCTAAGAAACAGTTGTTGTCAGGGAAAAAGAGAAAACTTTCTGGCCCTGAAGTTGATTTGCTTACCTGAGTATATAGCCCATGGTATGTTATAGCACAGGAGTGAAAAATATCTAAGAAAAGAAGACCACCTCATTTCTGGCAGTGGAGTTGTTTTCCACAGTGTGACATATACCTTTGTATAGCTGTTATCTTGAGCAGTTTAAATTGAAGTTGAGGTCAAGACAAACACATGGGATTTTTTTTTAAGATTTTATTGGGGAATTGAGGGAGGGGAACAGACAAGTTACTCTCCTTTTGTTCTTCAGTCTAGTTGTGGAGGGCATCCCTACACTGGCCCATGTTGGTATTATCATTGCATTCTTCCGGGGTTAGGCAGTTGCTCGCCAGCCATTGGACAGTGGCTCTCGGCAGCTCACGCCAGCTGCCGGGCCAGCCCCACTGCAGCCCTACGACTCACGGCAGCCCAGCTCCAGGTTGACCTGTTGTTCAGCATCTTAGCTGTAGAGGGCGCAGCGTCACTGGCCCTCATGTAGCATCTGAACCGGGGCCCTGCTGCTCAGAGCTGGCGTCCCAAGCTAGCTCCAAACCAGTGCGCCACTCGGCCGGCCGTATTTTTTTAAAACTGTGTTAGTTAACACCAGAATTTAAGATGTTATAAGTGTGGGCATAATAGATGACTCTGGCATAGATTTCACTTCTGTGTGTATTAGTTGATTTTTTTTCCTGCCCCGTTCTAAAAAGAATTTCAGGTATATTTTCAAAAAAATATATACCATAGCCAGATGATAAATGCTTGAGGAAGTCAAGCAGAGGGGGAAATTAAAGTAGGAAAGTAATAAAACATAGGGTATTATTAGCAAACACAAAAGTGGACTATACTCAGTCTTTGTATAGTTGCTAGAAATAGGCTACAAATTTGGTTCTAAATTTCCTAATGATATAAGCAGAGGGAGGTACAGTCAGTTCCTCGATTCTGATTCATAAGATTAAAACCTAGTTATTCAGGAGTAGCACTGATAATGATTGATAACTGAAATGTATCTCTATTTTTAACTTTTACCTGATACAAAAAAATTTTTGCCTGATACGAAAATTTGATGATGGTGTTTTGTAACCCACATATCAAAATTACACTAACCACTATAAGGAATATGTAAAAATTGTTGGCATATATTTTGAATAGGAAAAATTCAAGGCTGTTCTCTGTCGTACTTCGGAGCGGAGTAACACTGTTGATCAACGCCAAAAAAGATGGTCCTGGGAAGGCTCCGTGGCAGTGACCTCTGAAAATAAAGCTGGTAATTAATACAACTATTAAAGTTCATTCATGCTCATGTATTTAAATGTTGGCTATTAGTATGAGGTTGCATTTACAACAAGGTTTAGAGTTTTGTATCTTTTAAAAAAAACTTTTTTATAAAGATTTTATTGGGGAATTGCGGGGAGGGTAACAGCGTTAGGGAATCGGGGAAGGGAATAGACAGGTAGACAAATTGCTGTTTTGTTCTTCAGTCTAGTTGTGGAGGATGTTGCTTCACTGGCCCGTGTTGGTATGATCATTGTGCTCTTCCCGGGCGAGGCAATTGGTTGCCGGTCGTTGGTCGGACGCTCACAGTGGCTCCCGGTAGCTCACACCGGCTGCTGGCCGCTGACGCTGGCTGCCAGCCACTCACATAGCTCACGGCAGCCCACTGCAGCCCTGCAGCAGCCTACACCATTGCCGGCGACTCACAGCAGCCCAGCTCCAGGTCGAGCTGTTGTTTATCATCTTTGCTGTAAAGGGCGAGCGTCACTGGCCCTCAATGTGGGATCCGAACTGCAGCCCTGCTGCTCAGAGCTGGTGCTCCCAAGTGAGCTCTTAACCAGCTGAGCCACTTGGCCAGCCCTTAAAAATATTTTTTATTGGGGAACAGCCATAGTCATTGGCTATGCATTGCTCTCATGCCAGCTGACTCCTAAGGAGGGTGCAGCTCACCGTGGCCCATGCAGGAATCAAACTGGCAACCTTGGTGTTATCAGCACCACGCTCTAACCAACTCAGCTAATTGGTCACCCCCTTGAGTTTTGTATCTAAATGGAAGTCCTGCCATGTACTCTTTGGTAGGCACAGTTTTCCACCTGTGTCATGAGATTGCAAAAGAAACCTGTGAAAATTTTACAATTTTATTTTATCCAATATATCCAAAATCTTACCATTTCTCATAATCAGTATAAAATGATTAATAATTAATAAGCTTTAATACAATGCATATTTAAAACATTAAATCTGCCTTATTTATACAACTGGTGTACTGTAAATTTCCCTGTATGTGGACATAATTCTACACAATTTCATAAAACACAAGTTAAATATATATAGTTTTTTAAGGAATGACTGACAGTGAACGTTGTATACCTAATTAATGCATGTTTATTATGCTCCATAGAAGTACATCATGAACTCATGTTGTTTCAGCTAATGATGCTTTCTTAAAATATGAATATGGTAAATACTATATCTTTTCTCAGTTAAGAAACGATCTGTATCTACTGAAAAACTTGAAAAGGAGACTTCTGGTTTACACAAACAAACGACTGTGTCATCTACAGGTCTTCAAAATTCTATTGCCAAAAGTGAGTAGTTACATCATGTACTCTGCTGAATTTCAAATCAGTGAAATCAATTCTTTATATGTATTTTTACATTATCACTTATTCTTTAGATGAGCGGTTTTCAACAGTCCTAATGCCGCAACCCCTTAATACAGTCCTCAGGTTGTGCTGACCCCCAACCATAAAATTATTTTCGTTGCTACCCTATAACTGTAATTTTGCTGCTGTTATGAATCATAATGTAAGTATCTTTTTGTTTTCCGATGGTCTTAGGCGACCCCTATGAAAGGGTCGTTCGACCCCCAAAGGGGTCGTGACCCACAGGTTGAGGACCACTTCTTTAGATTGTGGAGCATTTAGATTTCTTTCAGAAGAGCACATTGTTTTACAGTGGGTAGTGGTCATTATGATTTTTTTAAAAAGATTTTATTGGGTAATCAAGGAAGGGGAACAGACAAGTTGCTGTCCTTTAGTTCTTCAGTCTAGTTGTGGAGGACATCGCTTCACTGGTCCATGTTGGTATTGTGACCATTGCGCTCCTCCCGGCTGAGGCAGATCGGCCACTGGCCATTGAATGGCAGCTCACACTGGTTGCCGGCCACTCAAGGTAGCTTCAGGCAGCCCATTGCAGCCCCACTGCAGCTAACACCATCTCCAGCGACTCATGGCAGCCCAGCTCCAGGTCAAGCTGCCACCCACCATCTTAGCTGTAGAGGACGCAGCTTACTGGCACATGTGGGATCAGAACCAGCGGCCCTGCCGCCCAGAGCTCCTGCTCACAAGCCACTCGGCCGCCACACCATTTTGTATTTTCTTTTCTTTTTTTCCCCCCATTTTGTATTTTCAGTATACCAACATAAAGATCAATATATGTATATATATAAAATCAATACGTGTCAATATAAATCCTCATTTTGTGGTTTGTGTATTAATCGTATCAGATGGTTTTGTTGGGCTCAGGTTGCCCAAACCAAAACATATTTTGACTAAAAGACATTGCCATTAAGTGGCACAATAATTTATTTTAAAATTAATTCGTATGCTTTCTAACCTATAAATGAAATATTTTTTGTAGGGACTAGTTAAACTAGTCATTTAATTTTCATTAATTTTTTAATGTTACCTCATTTAAGGAAAATAATAGCATGTATATAACAGTGGACATATTGATCTGCTTCACATATTTGTTATTCACAACCTTGTACAATTGACAGGCAAGTATAATTACCTTCCTGGTTTTGCAGTCAAGATCTCAGTGAAGTTACTTACTATGGATACTTCACATACCTTTTGCTCCTGGTATTTGCCCTTTTAATTACTCCTCCTTATTTAAAAAATCATTAACTGGCTGTGTGTCAGTGACCATTTCTGGCTTGTAGCACATGGTGCTTCTCTCACTGATAATTGAAATGGATTAGGCAACCATACCCATCAATAAAAAAATCATTTTTCTTTATGGAGATGAAAATAGAAGTGATCTTGGCAGGAAAAAGACATGGCCAACATTCCACAGCATTCCCTGAAACTTAGCCATTAAAAAGAAGAAATACTGCTTTTGTGCCTTATGGATTGAGAAAAAAGGCATAATTGTTGAATTTAAAAAGTGTTTTGTTTTTTTTAATATTACTAGGTGCCTTGACATTTTTTGGAGTTACGCTGATTGCTATAAAATTCCGGTACAGCAAAACATTCTGGATCTCATTTAAAGTAGAATGAATTGTAGCAGTGGTTAACTTAGTGGGAAAGATTTTCATTTTTGTCTACACATTATAGTTTCAATGTGTTGAAATGGTTTTTGTGTTGTTTATACTTACATTGTTACTTGTACCTTTAGGACTCGTACAATTTCCAGTGATGAGCTTGCAAGGTCCTTTGTTCAGGCTGGGTGCATCACATTTCCTCTTGTAACGGTCTAACAAAAGTTGATCCACTTCCCACCGTTATCCTCATTATGCATAACATGTTTATATATAGCCTGGGTCCATTTATAGATTAATATAGGAAGAGTTTCTCTAGTACTTTGCTTGTCATATAATAAAATTAAATTTTTTCACCAACTCAGTCCTTTAGAAATATTAGATAACTTTCATTGCAATGTCATGTTTATATACTTTCATTTTAATATATCTTAATTTTTTCATAATCATTGACTATGTTTTACTATCTAATTTCTTTGAGGAATTAGGAAAGATTTTCCCCAGAGGGACAATACATTTTTTAATATAATAAGCAAACACTAGTATGCTTGCATTAATATGTCAACTTGCAATATTAATGAGACTTGTAAACAGAACGGACAGGTGATGACTTTCAAGGTAATAATTAGTTAAGTTGCACTGAAGGAGCAATTCCAAGTAACTCTTTAAATTATTTATTTACTAGTTTTTAATACAAGCAGGTATGTGTGGAAGATACTTTGTGAAATAACTTGCTTAAAGGTACCGTGTATTGCACATGAATGAATGTTGTATTGTAATTAATGATTTCAGGAAAAAGAAAACCAATATTGGCAGTGGCCTGCCTTTATAAAATCCCTTTAAACGGAAATGAAACCTGTTCAATCTGGAGAGATGAGCTTTTCAGACTCAAATGAAGTTCATAATCTAACCTGTAATATTTTAAAATAACCCTATTTTAAATCTTGGCTGATTCAAATAATCTATTTTTCTAACTCATTGCTGACTCATAATAACTATTCATGCCATTTTGTCATTTCTTGTAGTATGATAATAAAGTATGTGTGATTTAATCACCTGATTATAATGCTCAATTATATTATCAATTCACGAGTTTTCAAATGACTATAGGTTGTCTATTTGCAGGTCCCCAAAAGAGAAGTTATTCTTTAAACAGACATTCCTTAATATTCTGAACCAGTATATTTCAAGTGAAATGGAAAAGTATCTACACAAAACAGATTATTTCCTCTATGAATGGTTTGAGTTGCTAAAATTATATATCTAGACCATATGTTAATGATCACTTTTGTTTAAAAAAATACTAGTTGCAACTAAAGTATAAGTTACTTTAGTAATAGATGTCATTGATTGTGTCTAAAATGAAACGTTGTATACTTCTAATTTGGAAACTTTGATTTCAAGTAGTAGCAGGCATTTTCCCTCTTAATTTTTACCATTTTTCTAAATAATTTTCAGATGACTCAAAGAGTAAACTAGTTTTAACTTTGGGAATGTAGAGTCTCTACATAATATTTGGAGTTTAAATACATTTTTACAAGTGAGTGCGGAGAAGATAGAAAATGTTTGAAAAAAGGAGTGGCTCACTCCCGAAATAATAAATTTAAACAGATTGTAAAAAATAATATGCCTTTGCCCTTGATCTCCAGAAAAAAAAGAAAAGAAGATAAACCCACCTTTGAATAGAAGAAATAGCAAACAACATTCACCTACGGAAACAAAACCAGTGGAAAGCGAATCAGGTGGTTAGTTATTTCTAAGTACCAATCTTAAATAGTTGTTTAAAAGAGATCTATATGTCAACATTCAGTTGCTTGAAGAGTCATTCCTAAAATTCAAAGCCAAAATATCACTTATTTAACTAAAAAATGTATTTTGGTGCCATGCTTATTTGGCTGAAGCCAGAAGAGTCTGTCTTTAAATGAAATAATTCTGCCATCATCTAAGCAAGTGGTCTTTAATGAAGCTGACAAACTAGATGACAGATGTTGGAAGAGATAGATTTGTACCAGAGGAGATGATTCCCTTCAATCATTTCATCAATTTGCATTTCAAAGTTCTAAATTGCTGGCCCAATTTGGAACTTTAAAGCTTTGCTTTGTTGCTTCATAGCATCACCCCACATCCATCCTTTGTTCATGTTTTCCCTGCTTATTGCATGCGGAATTTCAGTTTTTCCTGCAGTACTTTATTTAAGGTAGTTTCTAACACTTTTCCCCAAACTTTTCCCTGTCAAACATGATTGTTGCTTTTTGTCTCATACTGAACTATTCACTTACAGTAGACTCTCCACTTCATTGATTCAGGTCACATCTTATTACAACAAATGCCATTGTCACAGGGATCTTTATGACCGTAAAAACTTATTGGAACAAGAGATTTCAACAAGATTTCACTTTTAGCAAAAGATTCAGTCAGTCCCTTAAAGCTTTTGGCAATGGACTTGACCAGTATGACCATCAGTGGCACATATCTAGGAATCCATATCAAAGTTGTTACGTCACGCACAACTTCTTTCTCCATATGTGAATTCCTCCATAGAGACTCCCATCTGTTGGGTATGGTTGTGTTAAATACATTACCTAGATTCCTTCATTGGGGTTATTGTGGTTTGCTGTGGCTTTTCCACCTTTATCCAGGTACTCTCTTCCCTAACAAACAATGCAGTCTGGTCAGGTAGCAGAGTTCACTATTATGTATGTGTTGTTCTCATTGCCTCTTCTTCTTGGCTGAGAAAGTTATTTGCAGTAGCTCACATTAATCTTTATTGCCAATACTTTTGAGGCCTCCAATTGAATCCATTTTGTCTGTTCTCATCATTTAGTTCAGCACCTGTATACTGATCTTTGGGAGAATGATTTGATCATGCGCCTGATCACCCCAACAAAAGCATCAATAGCCAAGAGCAAAAGTGCTGCTTCATTATCTGTCCCTGGAAAAGTACCTACTCCAGGTAATAGGCATGGTAGAAAGCCGGAAAGTGGTAGTTTTTGCACTTAAAACGTAGGATGTATCACTTAATTTGTTGCAGTATTGCATGAACATAATTTGAATCAATAGTTTTCCAAATGAATGATTTTACCCAACATTTTATGTTGTGTATTTATTTTATGACTTCTAGCATGGTACAGCAGTTATCTGGGTAATATCATAGGTGATTTATAGGATGAGATAGGTAATTTTGGTGGTTGTTACATTTTAAAGCTCTATGAATTTCTTGACCTGTGCTTAAATGTGTCACAGTACTGTAAAATGTACTGGGTTTTAAAAGTATAGAAAAACTTAATATCAAAGGAGAACGTTTCCTACTCCACCTTCCTTTTTTTCCTAAAATATGGAATAAATAATGTTGAGCTGCTCTTTAGCTTTTAATTAAGAACATATTGTTAGTAAAATAAAACAAATCTTCAGGGTTTTGTGGCTATTCTCATTTATAGGTTACATACAGAGTTAGACATACCTGTAGGTAGTTAGAAGTCCTCAGTAATGGAGAGCTCTAACGCACTGTTCATATCATTTCTTTTCCTTTTTATTCCTCTGCTTTTTCCTTTCCAGAATGTATCCCATTCCTTTGGATTTTTTCATTCAATATTCATAGGATTAGTAAAAATAAATCAAAATGCTCTTGTAGGCTTTCTGGTGATGCAGCTTTACTTCTTTTGGTTTGAATTCCTGGCTTTGTTTATGCCCAGTTAAGTGTATGTCAGATTATTTTCTGCCAGTCTCCCTATAATCTATTGTAAGATATTTCTAATTACTTTCGTTTTAGTTTAATGTATCACTCCCATCAAAAAACTTAATATTTTGTCTTAAATTTCTGCAGTTAATAGAAATTTAGTTGTTACTATATTTTCTGTAGCACAAGCTGTCGGTGTTAAATAATTTAATTGTTTGGGCACATGCAGATATGTAAATAAAATGCTTTCTCCACCAAAAGTGAGTGACTAAAAAAAAAAAACATTTAATATAGTCAAAATTTTAAATTCTTGAGTAGTCAATCTTTGGTAATTTCTATTTTTATTATTTGATGAGAACATGTAAAAATGCGCCACCCATATTTAAAGATAATGTGACAAATTTACCAAATCTTAAGGAAGCTAGCACAAAATACCTTTTTAAAAATGTTTATTTTCTTCATTATGCAAGCAATAAATATTTAGTGTAGAAAATTTTAAATATAATTTCCTATTATTACAGTATCCACTGACCACTGATAACTGAATATTTTTCTTCTTTTTTTCTCAAAGATTTTGTTGGGGAATCAGGAAAGGGGAACAGACAAGTTGCTGTCCTTTTGTTCTTTAGTCTAGTTGTGAAGGACATTGCTTCACTGGCCCACGTTGGTATTAACATTGTGCTCTTCCTGGGTGAGGTAGATTGGTCGCCAGCCTCTGGATGGCCGCTCACGGTGGCTCTTGGCAGCTCACACTGGCTGCCGGCCACACACAGTAGCTTATGGCAGCCCACTGCAGCCACCCTGCAGCCTACGTCGTTGCCGGCAACTCACAGTAGCCCAGCTCCAGGTTGAGCTGTTGTTCACCATCTTAGCTGTAAAGGGCAGTGTCACTGGCCCTCATGTGGGATCCGTACTGGGGCCCTGCTGCTCAGAGCTGGTGTCCCAAGCCAGCTCTTAACCAATGCGCCACTCGGCCAGCCCCCATAAATATTACTCTTAACGACTGCCTGAGAGTAGTCCAAATTTCCTGTTAAATATTTGGATATTTTCAATTGTTCCAGTATTATAATGCTATAATAAATAACTTTGTGCATACATTTTCATTTATTTACCTGATTTTTTTGCTAAGGATAAACCTAGAAGTGAAATTGCTGGAACAAAAAGTATGTACTTTTTTTTGTGTAAAGGTTTTTATTGGGGAATTGGGGGGATGGGAGCAGTGCTGGGGAATTGGGGGAAGGGGAACAGACAAGTTGCTGTCGTTTTGTTCTTCAGTCTAGTTGTGGAGGATGTTGCTTCAC